TCATCATTAAGATTTCTGTCATTTTTGTGTTTTTATAATCGTGTGTATTTAATGAATATGCTTTTCGAACTAGTGTTTCGATACGTACTGCTAATTGTTTGATGGTTTCATTTGGTAATCTGCGAATTTCATTACATAAAACTCTTTGTTGTTGTTTGTTTCTTTCGGAGTCAAACATTTTTGAAAATTCTTGTGTAAATTTGATTTTATTTCTATAGGCAATACTGAAAACCATTTTTGGGCTGCGCCGTCTAAGGTTGTCTGTATCAACGCTGTGCGTCGAAGTATCCAATTTTGATGTAGTGGCGTATTAATTGGTTCAGGTCCTATATTTAAAATTAAATTTGCTGTTACTGCATTTAAATAATCTTCTACAGAATATTCAGGGTCTGTTCCTGTAAATACCATTAATGGTTTGTTTGATGTTATTGATGATCCACCCATAAGGTATGGATTCATTGTCATTTGTAATGATTCTGCTGCATTTGGCGTTTGTGAAAAATTCGAAAGTTGATTTTTTGTTATTTCGTGTTGTTGAAGGTAATATGGGAGTGGTATTTCATTTTGTATTTGTGTTGGTTGATACGAGTGTGTAATCATTGGGTTTTGTGGCTGAATTGGTTGAAAAGATTGTGTATTAATTGGGTTTTGCATTTGCATTGGTTGTTGCTTTTGTGAGTCTGTTGGGTGTGGAGAAAAAATTCTATGACATGTATACGGTTTTTGTACTCCTTGTCCACGATATTCTTGAGTGTATGGTGCAAATATATCTGGTTGTAAATAATCATCATCAGAGGATAGGTAATCCGTTTGATGAGGTGCTTGTTTTTTATTTTTATTCTGTTGAAAGAATGGGTAATTTTCACTACGATCCTGTGGAGGATGTGAATTAGTTTGAAAATTTACTGTATTGGTTGTTGCCATTGGGTTATCCCAATATCGAGATCTTATCTGATTATTATTATTTTTTTGGGGGGGATAGTTTGTTTTTGATGAATGTGTGTAATTATAATTGTGTTCCGCAAAATTGTTTCTTGTGAACGTTCTGCGTGTTTTTGACAGTATTGTCATGGGTCTATATGTTTGATAATCCATTTGTGAATATTTTGGAGCAACCGAAGGTTTAACGGTTGATTGTAAGGTTACCTGTGCTAGTGAAGTGTTTGTATTTCTTGGTGTTGTTAAATTTGGACGTATTGGTGAAATACTTTGTTGTGTAGTTGTTGTTGTTTGGACAATTTCTTCATTTATGAAGTGTGATGTTGTCTGAATATCTTGTTGAGTGAGGTTCCTAGTTCCATTAAGGTTTTCATTGTGTATAACGGTCGAGTTTAAACTGTTATTTCGCGCATCGGGTAAAAATGTATTGTAGTTTAATGGTGTTGCGTCAATGGATAATGGTATTACTCTTACATAATCTCTTATATCAGATATTGTACTTATTGCTTGACTTGCAATTGATTGTGGGATATTTATAAATGCATAATGAGACCATTCGGGGTCCCAAAGGTAGTCTGACTGTTCTGTGATGGCGGTATCATCGTTTGAATTTTGAGGTCTAAAATTTTTTCTTGCTTGTGAAATTAAATCTATATTATGTGTGAAATAATCTATTATAAACCATGCCAAAATTTTTTGTAAGTCATGTTTTGTATGTTGTGAAACATCGTCTTTAGTGAAATTTTCCTTAATTATATGTAGAAAAGTTGAAAATAGTGTGATTTCATGTCGTACCTTTATATGTTTAGATGTCTCTGTCGGTGAGACACTTGGGATTGGAATTTCGTTTTCTAATATTGAGATATAACTATATATTATAGCAAAAACTTCATTAGTGAATATGGAGTTTGCTCTTTGTGAGTTATGATATTGTATGCTTTTTATGTATTCTGAGAATACTTTTGAAAATTCTAAATCAAGGTCGTCTGTTTGAATTACATATTTGCGGTGATTCGGGTTTGGTGAGCTGAATTCTATGGTGTAGATTCCGTATTGTTGTGTCAAATTACATATATCTTTCAGATAGTGATCAATAATTTGTCTTTTGATCTTTACATCTGGAAACTCTGCTTTACATGGGCTGATTCCGGGTTCAAATAAATTTAGTAGTAAATTCTTGCAAAGTATATGCTGTCCTCTATCATTGGGTGCGTCTACGAGGAAGGGGTAGATATCGTCATCATCTGGACTATCTTCACTTGGAGTGTGTGTTTGGCTCATTTTTTCGTTTAATGACTGTTAATAGGTAATTATCGATATGTCTAATTGGTTGATTCCAATTATATAAATGTACTGGTTTGTGTTTATATTGCTTTTTTATTCTTCTTTTTCCTCTTTTTGATGAATTTGAAGTTGTTTCTGAGTCGGAAAAATATAATTGATCGTGAATGGAGCAATTTTTATCTATAGATTCTTTTAATTTATAAAGTTCGTCTAAATTGCTGGCTTCTGATTCTGAAAATGCGTTTCTATTTTTGGAAAATCTTTTTCGTGTTATTTGTCTTTGTTTGGTTATTATTTTCTTTTTTAGTGTTTGTCGTTTTGTTCTAATATATCCAACTGTTTGTGTACGAGGTGTGATTACAAGGTCGTATTTTTTGTTATCTATTTCACAGTTGTGTAAAACGATTGTTTGTTTGTTTCCTAGATTTTTAAATGACATAAGGTTTAGGATGACGGATGCAAAACGTTGTTAGATTATTTCTATTTTCTTAAATTGTTAGTCCTTACGATTTTTTGGTTAGCTTAACCTGGGTCTTTTTGTTCAGGGTTGGAGAGAAAAGTATATCGATTCCGAAGAATGATCTTTTACTTTCTCGTGGCTAGTATAAGCTAAGGTGTTAACTTACTTAATCTTACTTAGGGGTAGTGATTGTGTTCAAGGGTTGGAGAATAGTAAATCGATCCACAAGGTTCAGGTATAATTAGAACGCGAGTAGTTCGTTAGATACTATTTTAAATTTACTAAGTCTAAGATATCCTGGGTCTGGTAAGAGGAGGGTTCAAGTGAAGGATGAATAACCGAAGTTCTTCACTGTTTATCCTAATTTGAATGATTAGTTTTGTTCAAAAATTTCTATTAGTCTTGGGTTTTTTGAAAGGGTTGGATAGTGAATCGACGTTTGAGGTCGTTAGACGCTAGCTAAGTGGGTGGGGGAGAACAAAATGTTCTTTTTGATCCAAGGATAGGCCTTGATGATCAAGTTTTGTAATTTTAGTTAAATAGAAAATTAATTAAGATCCAAGGATAAGCCTTGATGATCTGATTTTAAGATTAAATGAATTTAAGTTTAAAATGGTTTAATTTTATTTAAGAAAAGATTTAGTGTTTTTATGATGTTAGTGAGTTTATGATTGCTGTTATGTTTTAGGTGATGAAGCTGGGACAACTGATGATTTTATGATTACTAACCGTTTATTGTCATGCTACTAATTTTTGTTTTGATTTTCAATAAATATTTTCCAAACATGTTTTATAGAATACTGCAGAATTTTAGGAAAACGATCTGAGATCTTTTTATCAATCGTTATTGTATATTAATATTTTTGTTTAGCGCCTGAAATGATCATGAAGATTGACTTCAAGATTTAAGTTTGCAAATGAAAATCTAAATTCATTGCTAATAAAATTCTAAATATAAAAGTTTGTGTTGGCTTTTGCCGTACTATCATATAACTATTTGGTAAGTTTCTACTTTGTCGTATGTCGTCTCTGGTTCGAGGTCTTCTTCCAATTCCGGGTAGTTCTCTTATCGTTCGGAATATTGGCTTTGATCTATTGAGTCGTAGAGACATTTCGATTAAATTATCGTCGTGTAACATTTTAAAAATGTTTTGCCTAAATTCTAATCTATTTTTGGTTAATTCTTAAGCTATTAAGGTCTTGTTCGAGACTTATGGTCGCACCAGATGAGTTAGGACCGATGTGGTTAACTCATAGAGTAATTTCGGATAGGGTACACCGTCTGCTCGTCACGCTATCTTATTTTCGGCCGGATAGATTCGTGCAACTTCTTAGTCTAATACCGATCCTAATCTTACTCTTATACTATCTAGTCTCAGGTTGTTTAACTAGTCTCTGCTAGGCTCAATAGATCTAGGGTATACTGGTTTATTTCGGAGAGGCAACTTAGTTCTAAGTTAAATTCAAATCTCTCTGGTGCTGAAATTACAAGTAATTTCAGCGCTTACAAATAAGTGGGTTGTTAGTTGGATGGATCATGATTGGTTAATATTAAGTACTTTACAGTGGTAAAATATCTAATTTATCCAATCATAAAATGTAGTTTAAATCAGGTTCCATATTTTCGGCTGATATATTTTATATACCAGGCGTACACACGCCTGTAAAGTCCAGGCAAGGCTCTTGATTTCTGGTGAACTTAATAGAGACATATGGTATCTGTTTCTGTAGATTTTGTTCTAAAAATACGTAATAAGTTGCCATAAATGATATTTGTGAATTCTTTTAGTTTATTCTTCTAGTTTTTAGTTTTTTCTAAGTTTTTTTCAAGCATAAGAAGAGAAATCGTTTTAATTTTTTTTTGCCGCCACCACTAAAACCGATCCAAAAATTCGAACAATTAGAATTTTCAAGAATGCAGAGGATTACAGATGTTGAAAATACTATTTTCTTGAAGAAGATGAAAACAGAACAAGAGTAGCCATTTACTGAAAAAGTAGCACGGTGAGTTCCGATCACAGCTACTATGTTGAAGTACATTTTGAAGTAAAAAAACTGAAATTAAGAAAATCAATAAAGCATTTTAGAGAAGTCTACGAAAAGTGTTGAATATTTTATTAAATTAGCGAAAAAAAAGATTAAAAAAAGCTGAAAAAAGATGAAAAAAAAAGAAAAATTAATATGAGATCTCGGCGCCAATTTTTTTTGTTTTTTTTTTATTTCAGCTGGTACGTATCTTAGAAGCTCCTGATTGTGCGTCTCGAAAAAAAAATTCGATTTTGCTTCCTCTTTTTTGGTCAAAATACAATCAGCGCACCTGTTTAGTACAACTGTCAAATCCAGATTGCAATAGTTCTAATTTTCTCTGCATTTGACCCAAATTCCCCCCACCACTATTGAGTCTCTCCTGCTGTGATGAACTGTGGTGACCCTCTTGCGTTTGCATGGCCCCTCTGCGAGTTGTGAAGTTATTATGGGGTTGCAGAGATGGGGAGGAGGGGGTAGGGTGTCTGGTTCCCGTCGAGGAATGAGGTCGCGGGTGGGGGTGGTTTTGGCGTACGGATGAATGCTGAAAAAAAATAAACAGTTACTTTAAAAGCAATCGTTTTCCGGTTTTTCCTTTTCTTTATTTCACAGAAACCTTTAAGACTGCATGTTCTCGCTAGAATTCTGAGCGAGAAAAAACCAAGGTCGTAACTAATGAATTTTCTGGTGAACGAAGAACAGTGTGTGAAAAAAAGCAGAAAACTGAAAGATCGAAAATAAGTTCACAAATTGTCAGGTGCTGTTTTAAAGTTGATTTTTAAATGTTTTCATTTTGCGGATTTTATGACATTGAATTCTGCTTTTAAATACCGAAATTTATGTCAGTTCGATATTCTTTGTTGACCTGTAATTTCCGATAATTACGGTTAATTTACGTATGAAATGAGATGTTGTCAATCAGCCAGCTAACCGGAACCGATCTGCCTCAGAACAGAAACGAGGCAGAAATACTGTATTTCAAGAAAAAAAAAATCGTATACCGAGATGCAAAGTTTTGGCTATAAAAAATGAAATTAAACCAAAATTCGTGGTAAAATTCGGGAAAAACTGGTAAGATCTATTGGCAGTTTAGAAATCAGCTTCTTAAAACTTTTACAAAAATTAGGAAACTAAGCTTCTCGAAATTTCAACGAAATTCAAGAAACTCGCGTTTCAAAATAACCTTCTGGAAATTAGACGATGAACTAGAAGCATAATTTCTTCTCTCTAGTGAGCTGTGGTTTCTCGATCTCTGTTTGTACATATCATTCAATCTAATCGAGTCCAAATCCTCTAAGTCGAAACAGTCCCCACCCTCTGTTATTTCTTGTAGAAGGTTACTATTCCTATTCTTCTGTTGCGGTATTTGGTAGTGTTTGTTCACATTTAAATGGTACTGTTGTGATGTTCTCACGCTTGAAGGGTGCTGTTGTACACTGTTCACGCTTGAAGGGTGCTGTTGTACGCTGTTCACGCTTGAAGGGTGCTGTTGTAAGCTGTTCACGCTTGAAGGGTGCTGCTGTAAGTTTTTCACGGTGTGAGATCCTGCACTGCTGTTGGCACTGCTTTCGCCAGTAGAGCCTACAGGACTGGTTCTATTATCTCTGCTGGTGATGTTGCGTCGATCGAATTTGTCAACATCTAAACGCACTGATTCAACAGATTTGAACAATTACTGCCTAATGGAAAAATTTAGGAAGCAATATCAAATTTCAAGTATGACTTTAATGTGTTTTAGTATATTGAAATGTGTCATTTTCATTTAGTCCTAGCCAGGCGCGGATCTAGGATATTCTCGAGGGGGGAGGCGGATTTTCGAAAAATTTTGAAAAATTTGTCGACCTTTTTCTAGGTCGACCAAATTGATTTTCTGAGCTCTCCCAAATCACTATAAAGATTCCCATTTTGACAAAATTTTCTGTGCTGCAGGCAAATTTTTGAAAAAAGGGCGTTTTAGGCACTTTTTGGAAAATTTCTACCAAAAATTGAGTTTTTTAGGCGCGCGCTCGCCCCTCAAAAGTAGTATAGGTGGCGTTTAGAAAAGTTTTAAGGACAGAGAGCCAAAAATGGATATCTCAAAATGGTACAACGGGGGGAACCTTTGGGTCGGCAGGGGTCGAATCCCTGAGGAGAAAAAGCGTCCGGCCCCCACCCCCCCCCCCCTAAATCCGCTACTAGCCCCAGCAAAACAGTTAAACTAGCTCAACAGTTCATAAAGTGAAGTGAAGGAAAGATCGATTAGCTAGTTTTTTCGCTCAATTTTGGTACCTCAAGGAAAACTCACTGGGGTCAAAAGCTGATTAACTGAAAGCTCGAGAGTAAACAAGCCAGTCGAAGCATCAATCAACCAAAAATGCGCATAGCATATAAGCCAGCCAAAACATTATGTCTTATCAATGAAATTTGCGTGAATTTCGTAACTGTTACTTAATTGGAACATAACTGTTACTTAGGAATTGCGTTTTTGGCTATATAATTCTTTGGTTTATTTATACTTCAGTTGGTTTATATACCATTCATAGCTCGACCATTTTCCTATCAAATAATATGACTTAAAATGACGTATTTTATATGATTGGTGAAATTTTGAACAATTTTGGCATTTGAAAAAAATATATTGCTTTTATTAAAACTTTTAATTTCTCTACCTGGCAAAACGACTAATTAAACCGTAAAATTTAGCTAATTGTATAACTGAGGCAGATGAGTAAATTTCATGCAGGATTAATAACCTATGACCATCGACTGAAAACTGCTTTCTTCGTGTTCGGCTGAACGTTCTTTTAGCCAGTATGTTGTGTCGGCATAATTATCTTAAATTTTGTCGTTTGAAGCGGTAAAATGTCTTTGTTTTTATATTCTTTGAGAGAGGTGGTGTGTAAAAAATTTTGAAATTTGTTGGCTAAAATATTTTACGACAATTTTTTTTCGGCTGAACGGTTCTCTACCCATGTATCGTCGAAGAAAATGAAAAATTTTTGTGGATGTATTTTTTTTCAATCACATAAACAACTAAATCTACGGCGAAAAATAAATCAACAAAAATTTCATACGTTTGTTTTGACAAAAATTGGGTGGACAACCGTTCTGCCTAAATTAAAAGAAACCCGACAAAAATATGTCTTAAAACAATTTGAGCTCATAAGATTTAAAATTCAAAAAAGTATAGGCACCTCATTTGACACATACAAAAACATACAACATACAAATATGACTTTCTGCTTCGAGTGACACAATTTGAAGTAACTTAGTGGATTAAATGTAAGCAGAAACTGTTTATGAAACTTTGTTTATAAAAAGCAATTTATTGAAAGTCAGAGTTCTTAAATTTACAGAAAAGTGCACAAACCTACAAAAAATTTTACGACAACGGCAGCAGTCCATTGATTCAAACTCCGAGGAAAATTTTCAAAGAACACTATCGAAAAAAACAAGTACCTGATCGAACACTAAAGGACACTATCGAAAAAAAACCTTACCTGGTTTGAATTCCAGACCTATGGGTTCCAAAGCATGCGCTTTAACAATAAACCCACTGAGAAGTATCGTGCAAATTTTTGAGGCTGCGTAATTAAGCAAGCTTAATTTTTTTACAGAGTTGTCAAAAAAATTGTTTACCGGAAAAAAAAATAGTTCCCAATTTTGAGTCAGTTGCTCTCGCAAAGAAAAATTAATTCCAGATTTCAGTGTTTTACACCAGTTTATCAGCAAACAACTTCGGGGAGACTTCATCATGAAATTTGGCTAAACTACTGCTCGTGATCTGTCACCAATAAAAAAAAATGACTCTAAAAACCCACATACACAAAGTACACAAGAATGCTCCTATCATGTCGGATCCGTGAAAATTCAGGCTGCCCTAGCCATCCAAAAGGTCACTCCATCAATACCATTGATATCAATTTTCGGCCGACTGAACTTAAAAGCGCCATCGGATGTTTTTGTATAACTGCGCCACTCAAATTTTTGGTCAAAATTTTGCAAAAAGTGCTCAAAAACTACTGTTTTGTCTGTTTACACAAAAAATTGGCTACAACCCAGAAACTTTTGCCAAAAAAGTCTTTATGCTTACAATGCACAGTTTGGCCTCGTAATGTTATAAATAGGCGACATCAATTCACAAGTTAATCTTGAGCAAAGACAAAAACGAACCAGGTTTGGTCGAGTATTTAACGTCTAAGATTGACGTTGACGAGGAAGGTCGTGAGGATATGGAAGAACACAATTCGAGGATGTCATTGAGACGTCTCGATTCCAATTTCTGCAGCTCTTCTTCTTTTCTTCTGGCTTCTATGGCTTCCTGGTGGATCTGGCTCAATTCAAACTTGGATAGATTCGATTCCAGATAACCTGTGAAAACAAAATTAGTTTTAAAAGTTTCAAGCAGAATGCATAAAAAAGTTCAATAAAAAATGACATTTTAATATTTTAGTAAATTTAGAATTGCCTGGACAATCATCATTAGATCTTTAGATTCGTTTTCAGAGGCCTCACTTTTTAGACAATTGGTAAACTCATTTATCAAATTGAAAGGTTTAAAAAAAGTTTCGTTTTTAACTTTTATTTCATTAGAAAAAATCTTTTGATATTCGACGTTAAAGATTAAATGTAATAATTAAAATTTTTACTTTAACTACATTTTTACAAACCTTTTCCAAGATTAGCCAGCAGCGGGGTTTCTGTAACGTCCACAGGTGTTGGCGTTTCGATACTACTGGGGTCAAAAATTCCAGATACATTCGAGCTAGAAATTCCATTTTTGTTAGTTATTGCATCAACTTCTTGGTTTAAATTCTCTGAAGAATTTATTAACTCATCTCGTAAGTAAGATAAGCTTCTAAAACGCAAATTTTCCGATGTCTCTTGGCTTTTTCTAGTCGATAAATTGGATGCCAAGTTATCTTCATAGGTGAATTTAAACGTAGGCAACGAACTCAGATTAGAATCTGTAGTATTTACAGTCTTTGATGTGCTTTCGGTCAACTCTGTTTTGGACAGCAAAGGTGAAATAGTGTTCGAGAGAAGATAAGACGTGAAGAAATTGTGAAATGATGACGTCAAAATTTCACTCGTTGCTGTTGAAGACGAATATTGAATTGAGTTATGAATGGGTTGGAGGCATGGGGAAAATTCAGTTGGGGTAAGTAAAGACGTTCTTGTAACACTGGTTCCATTATTGCTTGATGTTACAATAGACCCTGTTGTTGCTATATTAATGTTTCTTGTTGCATTATTTTTTGTTGCACCACTGGTACTATTACAAAAATGGTATATATTAGAGTTACTATTTATGCTTTTAGTTACTCCAATACGTAACTTGTCAGCACTAGAAGCGAGGTCTTCCCCAGGTAATTCACAAGATAAAGCCTCCCCTCTATTCTCTGGCGAAAAAAGAAGACGCTCTAATGCTAGTTTTTCTGACAACAGCCTTTGTGTGTCGTTGGCCATTTGGCCACAGCTCTTGCAACAAAGCCCCGCGCTTTTTTCCTCAGTTTTGTATTCCTCAAATCCCGTCGCAGCCGCCATTGTTCCACCGAGAGCTTCCAAGGGGAGATTCATCATCTGTATTCCTTTTTGGACATTTTTCCCATCATTTTTAGACTCTTTTATACCCCCCAGTTTTTCACTGACTGCGGATTTCGACTCTTTGTTTGAATAAATCTCTCGCAAATTGCATTTAGTTAATGAACTATTTCCATTGCTGTCATATAACTGTTTATGCATATTATCGCTTCCAGTTATTAGTTCAATTGGCCGATTGTTTGTATATTGGCAATCAAACTGATGATGCTGATTCAAATGGGAAGTCTCGGCAATTTTGGGAACCTTAGTTGAGCAGTCGGGATCCTTGCATGTATAAAGATGCTTGTACATTTCAGGTCCGGATATTGACAATGATGATTGAGTGTCAAGTTTAACTCGATTGCAGTTATTACATTCGCTAGTATCTAGAGATGATTTGTTGCTTGAGTTTTTGAAATCATTAGAATTTCCCGGTTCTTTTTGCGATATTTCGGATAGAGAAAAATTACTTGGGTTTCCGCTAATACTTGTGCAACACTTAGGCGATGTATACATTGAACTGGCTTGTAGCATTTTAATCAGCTGCTCTTTTTCAAACTGGGAAACGCTGTTTATGATATTCGAGCCCAAATTAAACTCCGAAAACGTCGGTAAATCTCGTATTTCCGAAATTATTTTGCCCGGGTTCATTTTTGACGTGGTTTTGTCTAAATTATTTGCGCAACATTGACACACATTTGGGTTTTTTAATGGGCTTGTATTCCTGTTGGTTAATGATTTTCTTTCGTTATGGGTCGAGTTATTTGTTTGACTCGAAATCTGGCTCGACAATTTCAAGTTTTGCGCTTGGTTCGTGTCAATTTGAATGCTCATTTCGGTTCCAAAAGACCTCAAGTTGCGCCTTTTCAAGTCATCAATTTTAACATTTTCGGCCACGTTTTCTTCGTTTTTACTCGATTGTTGATCGATTGACAATCCGGTCTGTAATCCTACTTCTCGCTTGGCCGAACTCGATTCAGAACTATTGACATTTTGTTTGTTTTTTGCGTTTGCTTTTTTCTCTCGCATCCAAAGGTCAAATAAATTGCTTTGTTCGATCGCAAATTTTTCCGCCAATTTTTTTTGCTCAACTTCTGACGAAAAGAGCTCGGGGTTAATATTATTATTACTTTCTAACTCGCTTTTTGGGTCCGTAAATGAATCGTAAATGTTGGAAATACCCGAATCGCACGTATCATTTTGAAAATAATTAGCTGACATCATATCTTCCGAAATCTCTACTCTGTTAGTTTCAGAAAGATAAAAATCAGACGCTGTTTCGATGTTGGTATGTTGGTAAGAAGAATTGAGCGGCGAATTATAATTGTTATAAATTTGACTGCCGCTGCTGCTTTTAGACAATTCAAATGCTGTTGCATCTGTTTTTGTATCGATATTTTTCAGTCCTTTCAATAAATTACAATTAGGAGAGCTGCTTTGTTGTTGAAAATATTTTTTGGTTTCATTTTGCAAAGTAGTCGGAGGAGCTACTTCGGTTGAAGCGTAAGACACAATCACGTCACCATAATTTCCCTTTTCCGTGGCCGTCAAAATTTCTTTTCCTTTATCCCCAGTTGACTGCAGGCCAATTACACACCTTTGTGCTGCGGTCTGCGATTTGAAATCGAAATTTCCCCCAGCGGAAACAAACGCATTATCCTGTCCAATTGAAGGGTGAATGTTATTTGGGTTTTTTTCAGAAGATGACCCGTAATAAACACTTGAAAAGCTTTCTTCAAACTCATCAGGCATTGGAATGCCACCCTGGTAAGAGTCGAATTCGCTTTGAAGTTCGGATTCCGGCGGCGCTTCGGAGATCAAAATCTGACCGCTATTATTTCCAGCATCCGTAGCTTCGAGCCCATCATTTTGGTAGTTTGAAAAATTATCTTCATATATTACGTCAGAGAATGGAGCATGAACATCATCTGGAGTTTTTTCATTTTGGTCAAACGAGTTGGGAAAATATTCTGCCTCGAAGTTGGGAGACTCCAAACAATTTTCGTTATTGATGATACTTTCAGGGTTTAGATTTTGCATCTTGAATGGTATGTTTTCATAAATTGGCGATTCTGTTCTTTCAAAACCCAATTGATTCATTTCTAACTGATTATCAGAAGTTGAATTGATTCTAGGCGAAATATCTTCATCAATGGTTTGGTAATTTGTGAAGTTCTTAGAGCTTTGAGGGTCATAAGCAGACTGGAAATTGTCGTTTTTAGGAACTTCGGCACTTTCCGTGTTACCAAAGACCCAAGGGTATACATCATCTTCAAGATCATTCCGATTGGGTTCCGTTTGATAATCATCAACTTCAAAAGAATGAAAACTGTTTTTGGGTTCGCTGAATTCAACAGCTCCAAAACTCGCAAAATATTGGTAAGGTTCGTTGTGTTCAAACTCGTACAAGGAGTTATCTATTGCGTAATCGTCGTCGGAGAAATGGGTTTCGGTGATTGTTACGTCACTCGTTGCGTAACCTGGTGACATATTACCGTAATAGTTATCAAACTCTTCGGCAATATGGATAGCAGAAGTACTGCTCGAAATTTTTGTCTCTTGAATGTCAAGGTAGCTATTTGAAATTGAAGATTGTGTAAGAAATTTGTCCCCGACTTTGGAACTGAGATTAAAATTGTCAATATCCACGACGGATAATCGGCTTTCTTCTGATTGGACACTTTCCTCGGATTCAAGTCGTGTCGACGCAGTGAGCCACTGCTGTGGTTCGCTCTCGGCTCGCTCATAAGTCGGCCCGCCGCGTCCAAATAAAAACCGACTTGTTGACTCGCTCGGCGATTCTTCAAATGTCTTCGAGACTCTTTCGAAATTTGCTCTAAATTGTTTTTGTTCGTGTTTCGCCCATTGAGAATTGGCAGACATATTCTTTTGGTCTTGACTCAGAAAAGCAAAATTCGATTGTTTATTTTCATTTGCCTGACTCGCGAGTTCAAAATAAGAATCGTGAGTTTTTTCTTGTTCTTGCTCTTGACTCATGAGCTCAATTTCTTTTAGAACATTTTGAATATCCGCTAAGTCCAAATCCAAAGAGAACTGCTTGTAGTCAAACTTCGTATTTTCCGAACTCATTGCCGAGCGCAAAGCGTGTTCAACTTGTTTCCTTGCCGCATTTTCGTCCATTTCTGAATTTTTCAAAAAATCTTCCGGGCGAGCGTTTTGCAAATTTTCAGGCGCACTTTCATCCAAATGTACTGAAATTCGATTTTCTGGGAAATTTTTGAGGGCTGTTTCCTGATTAAGATCTATTGGCGGGTTAAAATAAGATACATCTGTTTGTGATAGCGGAAATGGGTTATCAAATTCTGACCGATGACTTGAGTCTAAGCGAGGGGCGGGGTTTTCTGTTGATTCCTGGGCTAAATTAATCTGCACTTCCTTTTCAGCGGAATTTGTCACAGAAGGGCTGTTATTGCTATTTGTACTACCGCTTCCCACACGGCCAAGGAATTTATCTCTCCTTAGCTTATACTCCGCTTTAACGACGCTCGAATCGCTACTTGAACTTGGCAATGAATCCATTTCAGTGATTCCACTAATGCCTACTCTCTCGCGTTTCGCAATTTGAGGCGAACCTGGAGAGCTGTTAAAATCAGACCCGTAAACTGAATTTTTTCCACTATTTTGTGGGTTTTTTTGCTCTTGTGTAAATAAACTGGGTTCGTAATCAGAGGTATCAATTGGTAGTGTAGTTACCCTGTCAACCACATTTGCGGAAGTGTTTGAGGGGTGAATTGAATCGAAATTTTCATTACTTCTATTTAGGAAGCTTTTATTTGCGTCTTTACTGCTCTGCTCATTTTTACAATCTCCGTAAGCCGATAGATTTGCATCTGAATTATTTTCGTCAGGGTGGCTGTAGTTGGTATGTGTGGCGGTAATGCAACCAGAATTGATGTTTTTATTCGATCCCACTTTCTCTTCTAACCCATCCCCCCTCTCTCCCCCAAAACCACTTTCTGCCACATTTTCCAACCCAGCCTCAAATCCTTCGCCTTGAAATGTTTTTGGATGACTACTCCTGATTTCAAGCTCCGGTTGTTTGTCTAGGCTTGCTTCTGGAAAATTTGCATTGAAGTCGTCTTCTACAATGTCGGTCTAAACAAAAAATGCAAGGAATAGTGAAAAAAAAACATTAGTATAAGTTTCAACTTAAATTTCAGTATGTGCTAACACACTGTAGACTTGCCAACAATTTTAGCAAGCGCTCGCTAAAGCCTACTTAAAATGAGTAATTTCGATTTTTTTAATCCATTTTTTCAAAATTTTATTTCGATCTATTGATTTATACCCCTCTTAAATGACTTAAAAAAGACAAAACAAATATTACCGAATAGGATTGATTTCACTTAGAAATGCTTGGCTTATATCCCGAGCCTTGAATCAACTCGAAAATATGCAAAAATCACAAATTACACAACAATTAAAAACGCATTTGGGCTCGTATTTTTGATATTTACGAGCAGGTTAGAGGCTTAAAATGTGAACTGCACCGTTTTAGCCTGTCGCATATTGCTATCTCGCCTTTCTCAGTAAAACCAATCCAGTCTTTTTGTAAAGTTTTGCATTTTTATTTTTAATCATTTTGCGGGGAATATAACCTAAAAGACCCCTTTTGTATCAAATTTTATAAAAGGATGTTTAGGATTTTTTTAAGGAATATATAATGCTAAACTGAAGCGATGGTTGTTATAACCAAATAAGTGCCGTATCTGGAATATTCAAAACTATGAAGGTATCTCTGAATTTCAGTTTTGGCCAAAAACTCCAACAAACTAAATCGACAAGGTACCCGCCCTCTGTAAAAAGAGAAAATAATTGATTATAATTGATACTATTGTCAGTCCCCATAAGTTTCAAAGAGAATTGATTATAGTTGGTTAAAAATGAATTATAATGGTTCCTTTTTTTAAAACAAAAAAGTAATTATAATCGATTATAATCGAATATATTCGATTATTTTTGGAAAAATTTTTCTCACATTTTTTTGAATTATAATCCAATATAATAGGTTATAATCCATTATTATTTAATAAACGTCATCGATTCCTTTCGTTTTAATTTTGTTCAGTTTTATGTGCTTTTCAGTTGGTTATTCAACAAACGTTATCGCTTCATTTCGTTTTATTTTTGTTTTGTTTTGTGTGCTGTGCTTTTCAGTTGGTTACCGAACTAAAAGAAACTGTCATTTTGTACTTATAGCTCAAAATTAAAACAAATTTGATTTTCACTGTGTTTTCTTGCAGAATACTTAAATTTTATTCCAGTATAAATAATTATTTGTAAGAAAACTTTTTGATAGAAAAAGGGAATATACCCATCATAAAAATTTATAACAGATTATAAGAGGTTTTCGGAAAAATTATAATCGATTATAAGTGATTATAAATTATTAAAAGGCCACCAAAAATTTTATCATTATAATGGAATAAAAATCACTTAAACATCTAAAATTAATTATTAACAGCTTATAATTAATCATAATTTTGCTAAAAATACTATTATAACTATAATATAATCGATTATTCTCTCTTTTTACCTAGTGCTGGTATGATTGAAAACAATTTTTTAAAGAAGTTTTGTAGTTAGAGAAGCCGTCTTTTCAATTCGTTTCAAATTGATTGAAATTTAAATGTAATTTAGATTTAACATGTAGGACAATTATCCAAAGCCAGCGTCTCAGGAAAAGATCATTAATTTGCGAATGTTTCACTGAGCTCAACGCATCATACAAATGAACAGATTAGTGGAGGATCAAAGTGACTCAGTTTTAATGAGTAAAAAAGGTGAGAAAAGTAAATAACGAAGAATTTTTGTGTGAACTAATAGGGGGCCGGCCAAATAGCATGTGTGTCAGATAGCATGACCATGTAAAAATTGTATTTTAAGCTTTGTTTAATCAAGTTTGCAAAAATTTTTTGAGCTTGGACTCAGCCAAACTTAAATTAGGCAAAAATTTCAAATAAAAGTGAAATATATATATTTTTTCTGACAAACCAAGTTTTTGGAAAACTTTTGAAATTTAGGCTAAAAAGCACACATGCTAAGTGTGAACACATGCTATTGCACACATTTTTGAAATGCACACATGCTATTTTATCAGTTCGGGGCTACGCTCAAAACTGATCAAATTGAGGCCTATGACATCAGACGACAAGTAAGTTAGACAATCGTGCAAAAACGGATTTCAGACAATAAAATTTTTCTAAATTTAGACGATAAGGACTGGGCCAACAATTTTTTTTGTTCAGAATGAACTTACACAAAAACAAAAAATTATGATTTCAGAACTGATCTAAAATAAAATTGTAAGTAAATTATAAAACAATAAAATGAAAAAGTAAATTACAATTTTTAATTACTTGAATTATACAACTATGACATTAATAATCTGATTTGCGCTTGGTCAACCAGTGTTTAATCAACCAAAGATAAATGAAGCCTATAAACAAATTTCACGCAATTTGTACGCAAATTATTGTCTAAATTCCGTTATCTTCTGGTTGTCTATTTTGATTGTCGCCCAATTTCCTAAACCACGATAAAATTATCTAGCGGGAAAATTGAACCCATTCTAAGCTAACACTTCTGCAACTTAAACAAATAGAGGCTTAAAAAGATCTTGTATCACTTGCGTAGATAAACATCTGCTATCTCAGAGTTTTGAGTTTTGTCCTACTTGTGGAGATGAACAAATTTCATCAGTTAGCAGTTTTGGCGAGCTGACAGATGAATTATGTTGACAGATGAATTATTTGCCACTAATGTTTTTTACTGGCAATATGGTTTTTTTTGCTGAAAAACGATCACACAACTTCTCAAATTCGATTCAATTTATAAAAGTCAAAATTGTAGAAACAACCTAAAAACAATATAGAAACTTCATAAGTGCAGAGAACAATACACTGATCGCACTGATTGATTTGATGTCTACAAGCGTGATCACTTTCTCATCAAGCCAATTTCTACCAATAGCAGAACTTTGAGCAGATTTGAAGCTGGTCAATTTTTATGTGGAACTATTTTTTTCTGGTCTGGACAAAATCAAAAAACTTACCAAAAAATTTGTTTTTTTTTTGGTGCCATTTGGGTTTATTTATAAGTCAATCTAAAGTTGTGAACAAAAGAGGTTTTGCTGAAATTTGATGGTCATATTCTAGCAAATCAGGTTGAAGCAAAATAGTTTCAGCTCAAGATGTTAAAGTTCAGGTTTTGGGCAAAACAATTTTTAAAATCGTTTCTATGATCTTCTTAGACTCACAACGCAATATTTTTTTAGCAAAACGAATGCTCAGTATTGATATCTTTTTTGGCAGTTGTTGCTAAAATTTATAAACTAGTATATTTTGAAAAACTCAACATAATTTACTAACAAGTCAATGGGTTACTTCGGGCGTTTCATTATCCTAGCAATCGCATAGTCATTTTCAAACACTTCCGATTTTTTTTTGAATTTTTATATAAAGCTAATCTGCATAGCATTTGATAGTTTTTTTTGTGAAACTATACACACTCGTTTTCACCAGAACAAAATTTGTACCTTTGTTCCTTAAGTATACAGCATGCAGGTTGCATTGAAAAACGTACAAAAAAGCACTCAAAAAACAATTCAAAAATAATCTTACCTCCAATTCAGATTCCAGTCCTTGCAGCTGCGCCAAAACACCGTAAGCAGCTGTCAAACACGCCTCGGCATTCCTAACTTTTTCCACCTCCATATCAACAGAAGGATTTATTTCACTCTCCTCTTCGGTTTGTTCACACAGCGCTTCAATTTCTGGCTCATAGTCGTCGTAAACTATTTTGAAAGGATCTTCTTCGTAATCATTTTGATAAGCACTATAGGATTCGAAATGGCCAGACTCTTGAAATCTGTTTTGATCGTAGTTTAATTCAACGTCAGGTTCCAAAATGCTTCGATCTTCATCACGATATCCAGAAATTGTTGGAAGATCTGGAAGGTCTTGTATCCATGACTCCGCTTCCAGAGATCCGATATCATCTGGTACAAAGGAAGTTTTGGGATCGTTAGTTCCCGTCAAAGAGGTTTCCGGTGCCACGTCTGTTTTGATTTCATCTTTCTTTGATAATTCTGAAGCTTGTGGTAGATGAAGATTCTCGTACAAGTCCTCTTCTTCGTCATCGTCTAAGATACACGTTTCAGGACAGTCGTCATTTTCGTCGTCGATTCTTTTCAAACCTTTGGCCACCGATTCTAAGTAGCTTTTATACACGTTTAAACTATCAGTTGATGTCGAATTTTGCAATGTGTGTAGTTTACGATCAGCAGAGTTTGTGGGTGGATTTGGGTTTACTTGGCTCATATCAGATGTTTCTGCGCTTCCGTTGTTTTCAGAAACTTCCGAAGCATTTAGGCGAGCATGACTCATTTCATAGCCAGGGCTTGCGGGTTCTTCGGGAATCGAGAAACATTTCGTTAACGGGTGATTTGATTTGATAGGCTGCGATGTACTTGTTTCGAATGGTTCGTAATGGTATCCAAAATAATCAGGGTACATGAAAGTAGAAACATTGGCATAGTTTGCAGGGTTTTCATAAAAACTAGCGTCGAATTCAACTTGCGCTTCGCCGTAAAAATCTTCGTAAGAATCTTCGTCGAATCCTTCGTTTTCATTAAGATTCGATTCCGTTTGCTCCTCGTAATAACTTGAGTTCACAATTGTGGGAATATTTCGATCTGATTCACGCCAATTATTTAATCCATAATTTTCATTTAGGCCAACTGAGCATTCTTCAGTTTCGACAAAAGCGTAACCTGGAAATTCGAATTCATCGTTTAAATGCACTTCAGTTCCGTGAGGCAAAGCTGATAGGTCAATGTCAGCGACAGAAGGCGAAAAAACACTTTTTTCTAAACAATCAAGATTATGTATTCACGAGGGAATGGTACGAGTTGGCGCTCTCAAGCAATCATATCGGATTAAGGGTCTCGAACCCCAAACCTATGGTTTAAGATTCAAAGCCTTTATCTTCTTCGCCATCCCTCTCCCAACAGGCTCTATAGTAACAATTTCTTGAGATCAAGGTGTTTTTTTCGCGGTGTTTTTTTTTCGATAAAGTGTTCCGTTACCATTTTTGTTTACCTTTTTAAAGATTTTGCAAAAATGCGTTTTGGATGAGCGCTCTTCATCACAGAAAGTGGATATTCACGCTGAAAATGTATTTAGGAAAACTTGAGGTTTTGTATATTAAAATGGGTGTGGTAAAATAGTATCAAAAAGTAGGTCAGGGGTTCAAATCCCTGATGCAGCGCATTCCTCCTAAATAAACTCCTGAGTATTTTACAGCCTCATTAATTTCTCACGAATGAACAGTTTTTTTTAAATAGCCAAACCTGTTTCCACAAACGTTGAGTTTTCCTGATTTTCTTCTTCAATCTGGTCAGGTGTGTAATTCAGAGAAATATTCGCAGCTTCAGATGATGATCCAGCGGTTGATGAACCAGCGTCTACTATAGCGCTCAGAGGGAACGACTTAACGCTGTCTTTTCCCGTGCTCGTCTGATTCGCTTTATTGGTCTGATTTTTTTGTTCCGAACTTGAACTTGTAATTCCTGCAAAAAAGAGATGAAATTTGAATACATCAAAGTCAAATTCTAACTGACAAATCGTTTTTTCATTCCTATTTTACACAACAATTTGTCACAATCTATTAAGTGAAAAATAATACATAATTAACTTCTTTTAAATGATATATAAAATGATTTATGATGTAAGGGGAACAATTTTAGACAGTTACGTCTTTCATCGGGGAAAATCGAATGTGTTAAAATGAATATAATTTTTTGGGAAAGCGTAGAATTTTCTACAGAGGTCGAAGTCGACCACAAAACTTTCGGTGAATGACGATTTACATATATTTTAAAAATTTTCTCTTGTGTTAGACATTGACTAACAACTACCTAATAAAATTTGAACTTAAATTACCTTTTGAAAAAGGCAGGAAGCTGCGAACTCTTTTTCGTGTGATTTTTCTTGTGTAATATGAAAGCATAATTTGACTAAATAAGAACAAAAATATAGTGCAAAATTGAGAATGAACGATTTTGACAGATTTTCAGCAGGCTTTGTTTGCAACAACCAGTTTTTATTTCAGATATCATATCACCATCTCACCAAAACACCTGCTTTGTTTAATGTCGCCTGATAAAAACAGTCTAAAAGGTTTATTCAATCTCAAAAACAATAACAATTTTATTTTTCAATTATTGCGTTTTTTATTTTTCTCAATTAGTTAACCTTGAAACAAACCATAAAGTCAGTCAATGGCGGAAAAGTTTATACTAAAAACTAAAGATGCCCAAAGTTAACGTTTTTATTGTAAGACTATGCTTTTTTTGTATTTTTTAAGCAAAACTATGTTCTTTCGAAAATTTATGCATGACAAACAATTTTAGACAAGCATCAATTAGTTTTTGAGCTAATAAACAGATGCTCGTATGGAATAAAACTAAGTGTTCACTTAGAAATTTCTATGAGGAATAATAATTGTTTTGATCACTGACAAGGAGCGGAAAAACTGAGGCATGATAGGGCGTTTTTGTCACGAAAAATCAAGTATTTCACAGAGAGCTCGTGGGAAATCATATATGGCATCGCCTTGAAACTCGTTCATTCTAGAATCGGATTTCTTGCCTTGAATTAAAAAAAAATGAAAAAAAAAATCAAAATTTTCAAATTTAACATCGTCAAGGGATTGGATAAAAAAGTTAAAATCATTATTTTTTAGTTTATGTCAAAAAGTTTATGGTAATAATATTTAAGCTAATGCTATGTAATTTGTAATTTCACAATTAATTTTTCAATTTTTTCATACAATTTTTTTTACGATTTTTTTTTCAAGTTTCAATGTTGCTGCAATTTTATTAAATGATTCACTATCAACCGCCAGCACCGGAGTTTCATGGATCAGAATCAATTACAATTGAAAATATTGTCAATTACTCTAGGTCATTAAGTACTATTAGGTCATTAAAACTCATTATTGTTGCAAATTTAGACCACAAAATTGAATATATTGTCATTATAATTGATTATTTTGGTTAATTTATGCAAATCTATTATTGTTCCGACTTTCGATACGAAAGTAGCGGAATATTTGTGCTCGGGGTGGGTTTTTTTTTTCTTCAGACAAATTTCGACTTTTTAACTAGCCAATTTTGAGGGGATATTTTTACATCATTCGAAAACTTTTGTTGTCCTGAGCTTAAATTTGAAAAAATATTCCACCTGTGATCATTTTTCTTAAAGTTATGAGGGTTTAAAGATTGCCATTTCGGCCATTTTGGGACAATTAACGCGCGATATATTTCGCGCTATTAACGCGTAAGCGAGAGTTAATCCGTCTTAGAAATTGTTCCAAATTGGTTCAAGGAAGATTATATGCCATAATTGATTTGTTAATAGGAGCAAAATCTATCTATTTGTACTTAATATGGCGTGTGGGGGGATGTTTTCACAAAAAATCTCAAAATTTTTAGAAATTTTTTTTAAATTTTACTTCGTTACATCTAAAATTTTCCATGTTATTACTGCTCCATAAACCTTAAAAGGCAGTCGGAACATTCAGGGCTTCACCCTGATACGAGCAGTCTTGTTATTGATTACAACCCATTCAAAATCTTTCATCAATGACTTTAAGGGATTGAAATTTCTATGTTTTCTGAGAGGTAATTTGCAAAACTTGCAACAATTTCAGCATTACTCGCGGCTTACTCGAAATTCCAATCTACTCATTGAAATAACGCGCGTTAACCCACTCTCCCCTCAAATTCTCCATTCATTTTCTCCTCTCCCACAGTTTACTCTCCCCTCACGATTACTACCGCTCCCACGTGGAGGTGCTATATAAAAGAGAGGAGGAGATAGAGGGGTTGGAATATAAACCTATTGGATTATGGAGGGTAAACCAAATTCAGAAACAATGACATGCTAAGAACCACAAAAGAAAAAATAGTAAACCAATCAAATTCAAAACAAGAAACTTTTTTCTAAACCACTATGAATTTTTCTTACTTGAAGTAATTTGTATCAAGTCAAAAGCAGCTGTTTAGTTTTGAATAAAATGAAACTTTCAAAATAATTTAGAAAATAAAATTTATTACACTAGCGTCAGCTTAGTGTTTTGTTACGAACCTTCTTTTATTCTAACCTAACTCGAAAATAAAAGTGTTAATTAAAAGTGTTTACTTAATTAAAAATTTCAATGTAGCATCAGAAATTGCATACTTCTGTTATATTAGTGTTTGGCTATTAAATGTTAAACTTCCGGTACTGAGTGGTTAGGGCGTGAGACTCTTAGTTTCTAGGTCGCAGGTTTTAATTTCAGACGTAGCAGCATTTTTTCGACGTTTTCTTTCTAGTTTTTCTGAGTGCACTTCATAGAACTGATCATAATCTACTAAAAGTGAACTTATGGATTTGATAAAAGTTATTGTTATTATTTATTTTTAGTCGATTATGAATCATTTTTTCTTGAATTTTCTGAAGACTGGCAGAGAAAGTCTAATATAATCGGTTATTATCTCTGAAACTTACTTACAGTCACTTAAGCAGATCAAAATAAAAAATGACAATGTAACTTCAAGTCAACGCCACGTCAAAGACAATTAACTTGCTTTTACAGATAAATGCAGTTGGAACTTTTTTGGCTACATGAATTTTAACCCATTATTTTGTTTTCATGAAAAATTCAACTAGAAAAAAAGTACCAACCAAAATTATTAAATCACAACAGTTGCTATTAAACTTGTTTGAAAATTCAACTCATCCAAGAAAACGATGAAATTTTGTCATAGTCAAGCAAAGAAAAAAATCTCAACAATTTATTTACTCTGGTAAAAAAAAGGTTTTTATGTTCCAAATTATGCAATTTTTTGCTAATGTTGGCATTTTAAATGATGCACTCGATATTCGCTCAGACCGAAACGGAAGCTTATTGTCATAACTAAAAAATAGGAATTTTTAAGACTTCTCATTTTGAATACTTTTGGTCTTCTATTGGGGCTATTTTTTGTAAAATTTGCTCGAGCACAAACCGTTTTCAGGAAAGCTTTGGAAAATAATTGACGCTTCAGGTTGAATTAAGAGAATTTACATTTTTCAGGTGTTGATAGTCCAACTATATTTTATAACGCCGTTACTTTTCTTCTTTCTTTAATACCTTCTTGAACCAGTTTTTCGAGTTTTGCAAGCCATTCGATGCAAAAAAACTAAAAAAATCAACAGCATTTTATTGGCATCAATTTAAAACGACAAAAAATTGTCAAAAAGGTAAGTTTTTTTTGTTTTTATCCAGTTATTCAGTTGATAATGCTATCAGTTGATTCTGAAATGCTAAGTAATTTAATTTTGAAGATATTGGTGACATGTTTGTGCTTAGATAGTTTTTTCTCTAGACCATTTTGCCTTTTTGACTAGCTTTTGTATTCGGGACAACTTTAGCGACTATAATACAAATTAGGATAGTTAACGTACAATAAAATTCGCCCTAACAGGGCCTAGCAAATTAAATTATTCCAATTTGAACTAGGGCTTGCACTTTAATTTTAGTAATAAACTACCGTACGCAATATTTATTATTCTGTTATTTTGATAACGTGCTCTGGGATACAGTAAATAAAGAAAAAAGAAAAATCAAGGTTTTTGTCTTTTTTCCGCCAATTTTAGGAACCTTCATCTTAGGATTGACTCTAGATTGCTTCGCTTTGAAATGAGTATTGTTTGAAATATACGGACGTGAATTGAACTGAATTTTTGGCCAGTTCTCTCAAAGATGTTTATTCTGGACAAAAAAAAATGTTTCATAAAAAATCGCAAATTTTTGTCGCGAGTGAAAAAGTTTCAACAAAAATACACATTTTAATTAAAACAACGATTGTAAAAACCGGATCTTATCACCTTGGTGCCTAATAAATATTTGCTACAAATAAAAAAAACTAAGTCAACTTTAAACCACATGCGAGCCTTCTACCTTGTAACGAGTTTTTGCTTTTTGTATTGGGTGGAGGGTCTGTGTTCACAAGATCTATAAAACTTATATGCTTTCCAAAGAACAGCGAATTTTTGCTTACATGATGGTATAATTTTCTCATACGCCAAGGATTTCTTAAAAGTTGAAGAGCTTGAAGTAGCTGAATTTTTGAGGATGTGCGAAGATTTTTTTGAATGTAAGGAAAAAAACTGACTTCATTTGAAGAAAATAAGCTTTTCGAAAGTGCAAATATAATGTTCGAAGATTTTAATTTTGTTTTTAGATGCAGAAATTAGAAAGTAAGGCAAGTAAAAACAGGGACAGAGTTCATTTAAAATCTCTGCGCTGCTTTTTGGTCAAATAAATCAGGAAAAAAGAAATATTTCAATTTCGCGGCTTTTTATTTAAGTAAGGTCTCAATTTGGCACATTTTGATGTCAAACTAAGCTGCTGATAAAATTGATAGATTGAAAATTGTGATCCGGTTTTTTTCTTTTTAGAAAAAAAAGACAGTCAAAAGAACGTTAAATTTTAAAATGATATAGATGAACTTTGTGACCTGACAGAAAAGCAATGAAATATAAAAATACAGTGACCTGGTAAATGATTTATCGAGGCATTAGGGAAAACTTTTTATGAGCCTGTAATATCAAATTTATGAGCTTATTCAAACTTACTATTTTGCAAGCAAAATTTGAGAAGTCGGCATAAACTGGGTAAGAATAATAACTCGCACTAACTCATTTTTTTTATTAAGAGCAGTTGCTCATTTTACGATCAAAAAAATGAAAGGTGCGAGAAAAAAAACAGCTAAATCGGCATCTGAATAATTGAAAACCAATAAATGCCGTTTTTATTATTATGACTAGAATAAGCAGTTATATTGTATGGCAAAAAAACTCCTTTAAAGATACTGTAATACGTTTTTCTGCCATAAAAGTCTCCGAAAATGTTAATTAGTAATAAAATAAGAAGTCAATATTCATCCGAGTTAATGCGTGAGGAGTCTAGATTACTTGAGCAGTTAATATAAAGAACAAAGTATTTTTTGCCTTTTTCCTGTTTCTACAATTTTGAGGCACAGTTATTGATCGAAAGTGTATTTGAGCAAATACTAAACAAAAATGTCGTTCACGTTTCTTTTCAGCGGACCATTTGTGTTCTAAAAATTAATGAAAAAGTACATCACAAGAGGCCGTTTATGGACGTGAAATCTTAAATTGGATTTCCTAAAAGCTTCTTTATTTTTCTACCTTGATAGTTTGAATTAGTCCCACCGGCTTTTTTGTCTGCGTTTTCAGCTGAGCTCTCGAATTCATCGAGTCTATTTTCGTTTTCATTAATGACGTTGGCGTTTTGGGCGGGGCTTTGGGCGGAGTTTTCGGTCACAGCGGGAGTGGCAACAAAGTCAGACAGCATGTTGACCCCTCTTTGAAGAAAGGATTTGGGTGCCGCCACATTCCACCAATTTCCATCTAAACGTGGCACAGATGAAGTTAAAATCCGGAATAAGATGCTTGTGGATTGGTGCGAAGCAAGAGAGTTGTTGCAAAGGTTCTTCTTGAGATCGATTAAAGTGATCATTTGATGTAAATTTAGTCATTATGCATAATTTTTATCAGTGAGAAAAACAATTTTTTGAAAAATTACGAGTATTTCATAAAATAAAGTTCCTATTTTTGGGTAAATCTTCGCCCGAAACGCCCTAGAAATGTATCGCATCGATTCATGGATAGGATGAATTATTAATATCAAAAAACACAGTCATAGTTGACATACTTTGACAGTTATTTAAACTCGAACTGATAAAAGGGAGACAGCAAGGAATACTGAATCAGATCATAAGAAGTTCTGTTTCAATAGATCAACCAAGTTCGCATGTGGTGTATATTCTCTATGTTCCAACAACGAGTTCTAGCTTGGATAAATTACGGTCAACTCACTCCTTTTAGTTTTGACTCTTAAATATATATTTTAAAAATTAGAAAAAAAACATAATTAGAAAAATGAACAAGTGTCAAGGATCTCACAAATGGCCATAAAAAATGACAGTGATTCTTAAAAACTATTCAGGTTTCAAATTTAAAGAACACAACTCATAATGTTAAAACTTTTGTTAAAATCAAAAAATTTTTGTGATGGTTTTTATATATTATTTTCTCAAGTGAAGAAAATAAAAAACGACGTAATAAAGTGTCCTCACTTCGTTCATTGGCGCATAATAAACAGAAGACAATTAGTAAATTTCAAAAAAAATTAATTCTTTACTTCACAGAATTTAAGCAATGATCATATTCGCACGAGAGAAAACTAATATTTTTTTGGCTCAAAAAAGTATCAAAAAACCTTGAAATAAGATCTAAAAAACATTGATTGTCGAATGTTTTATTGACAAGTTGCAGCCGCTTAGCTTTATTATATTTGTCTTTTTATATCATCATAAAATACATCTAGCTGATTGAAAATATAGGTCAATTTCTGTTAATTCTTGTATAAATTTCACAAAGTCCTGGCACGATATGTAATTTCAGATTAACAAGATGAAAAATCATATTTATCGGGAACCGATTGTTTAGAAGACCAATCTTTTAGCATAAAAAGTGAAAAATGAGTCTTTTAGCAGACCATCATAATTAAGTGATTAATGCATTACTGACAGACTCAAAAAGACGCTCAGTCTTTGGTCAAGCTTCCCCAATTAAACAATTATCTCACATTTTTGTCAACAAAACTATCAACTTCAAAAACACAAAAGTCTAAATAAGCGGCAAAACAAAGGTTTAGGCGCACAATAACACTTCCGACGAATCGAGGCGCGCGGAGCGAGCGGTCGCTATGCGCCAAGACTGCCGTTTTTGAAGTTAGCGTTCTGACTTGCTAATTGTTCTGAGTCTGCTAAAAGAGCGGTCTGCTAAACAACCAGTCTCCTTCAATCCCTAGCACCATATTTAACAGTGGCGATCTATCATACTTGCAATCATTGTTCTACAAGTTTTTCTGAATAAAAAAGCCTCTCTTTTTGTAGCAAAACACAATCATAAGAAGTGTCTGAATGTCTATAGTTATAATTTGTCGCGAAAAAATAGTTTAGCATACAAAGAATTTAAGAACACGTCGCATTTGACTATCTGTTATCAAGTTTGATGTATATATAGACAGCAAAGAAAACGTTTTTAATTGATTATAATTGAGAAGCAAAAGGCGCAAAACGGGGGTTTTTCTCAAAGGCGAATGACTGAATGGGCGAAGGACTCACCGGCGAAGGACGCACCGGCGAAGGACCAAAAACAAATTCAGGCTGAAGTCATGGATTAAATTGAATCAATTGCTATTCAACTAAAAAAGAGTTACTTGAAGCAATAATTAGCTGGTTTTATAACAGAAACCTTGAAATATAAAACTTTTTAGAACTCGCCGGCGGTCAGTGACAATTTTACATGTTTCTGCAGTTTCGGCGTTATCAATGTAGTTTCGGCGTTATTTCGGCGTTATTTCTGTGTATTCATTTCGGCGTTATTTCGGCGTTATTTCTGTGTACAGAAATAACGCCGAAAATGCAGTTTCGGCGTTATTTCTGTGTATTCGGCGTTATCAATGTAGAGACCTTTGAAATGTTTACTTTCTTTGAGATCTCCACGCTTTCTTTTCAATTTTTGGAATATTGAAATTTAATTGGCTGATTTTTGATTTCGCTCATTCCGACCTTCGCCAATGAAGGATTTTACTGCTCGAAACTGCTACTTACGCTTAATTCTCAGGTTGAAGAATGAGTTTACTCATATTTGGAGTAAAACTCAAAATAATTATGTGTAATTAGGCGCCAATTTTTTAATTTTGTTGGAGCTAGCATATGGGCGACGAAAATTCAAAAAAATTGAAGCTGAAACCTGAAGCTGATTTTTTTTTTCTTTTTTCGTTTTCGTTTTTTTTTTTCAAAGATAAAACGAAAATGCTGATTCTTGATGCAGGCGGTTTTGATACATCAAATTTACATTAAAAAACTGAAATCGAACAAACGTTACTATGGTAGCAGTACAAGTAGCGAAGACTTTCTACCAAGAAAACCATCTTAGTCTAGTACGCCAATATTTAAACACAAAAAAATCTTGTCAGGTGAAGCCTCAAACGGTAGATGGGACTACCATCTCACCATTATAAGGTGAAAAAAGTGTTTTCTTTAAGCTTGTTTTTGCTCAGAACTTTCAAAACAGGTATCTGATAGCCCTTGAAGTGGCCAAGAACAGTCTGAATTCAATGAAATTGACAAAAAATGACAGAAAAGAGCAAAAATAGAATAAAAAATAAACAGTTTTTGATTGGTTATTCCAGAATTTTTTTTGCTTAGTTCTGCACTTTTTCTCATTCGTTGCAAAAAAATGATATTCAAATCAAGAATTATGTAAAATTTCATTATCCTTGGTCAAATCTGACCCGAATGCCCTACTGAATTATATTTTTAATCAGCTTAATAGTGAATTAGTCTGACAAACAAAATACTTCAGGCAAGGTCAGACTAAAAACTACTGAAATAACTTCGATATGATTTCGTTATGAGTCTCCTTTAAACTGTTTGCTTATACTTTGATTTTACGTGGAAACAGGCCAACTCTGATCATTTTTTCCAGTCCCTGTGGGGTAATCAGATAAAAACCCAGCAAAGTTTGGGTCTTTAATTTATGACACAATGGAAACGTCCTTATGATGAGCTATCCTAACTATGGTGAACTAGAATCTGGTAGTTTTGGGCGCTTAGAACTGCTTTTTTTAAAGTTTTTTCAAGATTTTGTCACAGCACCGAAGCGCACAATTGTGCTCCACTTTGTGACTATCTTTTTGATCGTTTTGCCCTCTAAAAAATTTCTTGACACTCAAAACAGAAACTTCCTTAATTCGGACAAAATGCTGCTGATACGTAGTTTTTAAAAACTAAGATTTCATATATCATAAAATAAACCTATGACCAGTTTTATAAACTTTTCATTAAGAAAGTCATACAATTTTTCTCGAAACACAAGAACAGGCATTAAAAAAACTAGTTTCTAACTGAAGACGAAAACTTCTGAGTGGTGTCTGTTCTGAATATTTCGATGTTTTTTCAGGTGTTCCACAAGGTCATTTTTAAAATTATGTTAAAACCTGTAAAACCTGTCATTATGTTAAACCTATTTGAAGATACTTCTCTTCGACTAGTTGATTAGTAAAATTGTACTGCTTCAATTGTTAAAACGCAATTTTTAATCCTTATAAAAAACATCTTTATTTCTGCTGAATGCATAATCTGCAAGTTTACTTGCTAGTCCTCAATTAGCTCGAAGCTTAACAAAATTTAGAAACAACTTCTAGGGCTGCTAAACTTCAACATCAAACAAGGCTTCTCAAATATCAGAGTGAAACCCTGAATGTTCTGGCTGCACTTTAAGGCCAAATAAATGGTTTTTGGTTGCATAACTGAAGAAATGATCCGATAATTTTTACGGTCTACAGTGTCCATATTTTACTAGATCTGCTACAATCTAAAAAATTTTTTTATAGAATTCATCAATTACATCTGAGAATTAAAAATTTGAACACAATTAAATTTTGAAAAGCTATTATGGAATTGGAAAACCAAATAAAAAAACGAAAAAAAAATCTTTTTTCAATTTTTTGAGCATAAAATTTTAATTATTTTTTGAGAGTTTTTTGCCAAAAATTCGCTAATTGAGGCTTCCAAAATTAGTTTTTGTAATTATAATCATATAGAGAAAACTTTTCTCGATCGCTTCACTCGCTCGAAGTTTGAATAAAACACAAAAAATTTCAAACCAGTCTCATATTGAAAATTTGAACTTTTTAAAGGTTATTCGAGTCACTACTGAAAAGTATTTTGCATTATATACCACTGCGATGATTAAAACGATCAAAACAAATTCGAATATAAGATTTCAACCCAGTTTCAATGGTCGGAACAAACAACTCTGTAACAAATCAAAAGTACGTTGAAAAAATGTGAAATTTGATTTTTGTCATTTGCTTGTCTCCAAATTAGAGATAAGATATACTTAATGCTTTTTCATTTTATCAACCTAACATTCATCTCAAATATCATTAAAAATAGGATCTCGTTGACAAACTTTGAATGTTTTTTAAACATTTTCTACAATAAATTGAGTTAATTTACCTTTTATGATTATTTTCAGCCATTGAAATTTTTCAAACAACTAACTATGATAACAGTTTGTTACAGTTCAATTTAATTTTACTTAATGAATTCTGATTTGATATATCAACAAAAACTGTTTGATATTCAACTCGAAAATGAATACCGAAGAACAAATTTTCCTATCATGAAAATGTCATATAAAAATTTTGACTGCCAAAAATTTTTTGGACAAGGATCAAAATTATCAGGTTCAATTTTTGCGTTTCGAAGGTTTTTTACGTGATAAACGATTTCAAAAACTAAAACGCATGATAGCACTTGTCATGACGATTG